AAAAAAGAAAATTCCAACAGAAGGGAATTTGTCCCATATCTGATAAAAAGGCTTAAATAACTGTATCTTAAGATTTGGGCAGTAACTTCTACCCCTAACTCATATGCACATTCAGGGCTACACAAAGCTATACCCAAACAAAAATCAATTTTGGAATGTCGAACTTAGTATGAGCTGGCTTCTCCATGATTTGAACTTATGATGCCAGGAAGTTCAGCTACTTCAAATCTGAAAAGAATATCACCAAGCCACACCTTTCAAAAAATGTTATTAACATATGATTCTTTCCTAAACAAGGGAAGATAGGAAATCTAGTTGCATTCACAAAGAATGTATGAAGACTGCCAAGAAAGCAAATAATTTTTGGAAGCCACCCTTATTTGGAAATATTCTAGTCATAGAACCATGGTTGTTTAAACAAAAGCATCCACCATATCTCCCTTTGAAAATATGTACTTCCAAAATATATGAGAAGAACTAAATACTGTGTTACTCAGTTCTCCTTTGATTTACTTGAAAATAGCTTGGATAAAAAAAAAAAAAAAAAGATAAAGCCCGCCAAGAACTACAAGTAGCTTCCTGTAGGCAATTGTGATGTAGTGGAAAAGGCAAAACCTCTGTAGTCAAACAGACCTGTTTTGGAAGCTTGGCTGCACTCTTAACTAGCTGGGTGACCTTGGGCAAGTAACTTTATCTTCCCTATGATTCATCTGCAAATATAATTAAATTTTATTAAATGAGAAAACAGATGTGAAAGTGCTCATTGAAGGATAGTTCCCCCTAGGCCCCAGTGGAAAAACAGAATAGTTATACATGGTTATTATAATATAAAGTAATAAACAAATACATGTCTTAGTACGTGTGCCAAACCATTTACATGAGTTCAAAAAAGCTTGACAATGGAACGTGATGTTTGGCCAAGTGCAAAATTATACACTGGAGTGAGATGCATTGAAATGAATTCTATTTATTTGACTTTAAATTGCTCCTATAAAAATCTTTTTTAGGGTCAATGGGTACTTTATGAAATGTGCTGTCGGCAAGACATCTAGAAATTCTAATGTATAAAAATGTTGGGTCTCGTTATTTCTAAGGGAATTATGAGAACAAGATCAATGAAAAGAAATATCCACAGTTTCTACTGTTTTAGCCTCCAGCCTAAAAGGAGCAGATGAGGTGACTCTGAGTAGATCGATGGCAAAATTATAAAGTAGCCACCCGACCTCAAGGCATTTTCTTAGTTGTCCAATAATATTATGATGTCCCTAGCTGTGCTGAAATAATTGTGCCAAGGAACCTATGCTCTACTCTAATTAAGCCTTATCATCTAGGGGCCAATCTCAGACCACTTTGTTTTTGTAAATAAAGTTTTATTGGAACACAGCCATGCCCATTCAGCTATGTGTTATGACTGCTTTCATACCACAGCAAGCAGAATTAAGTAGTTGTAGCAGAGACCATCTGGCCCACAAAGAATGAAATATTTACTATCTGGATTGTTACAGAAAAATTGTGCTAATCTCAGCTCTAACCCCTAACAACCCACTTGCTCCCTAAAATCAAAGGCAATATATTTAACCTATCCATGGGATATTTTCATTTTAAGATGACCATATTAACTCCATCTGTAGATTGTCTGGGAGAAAATTTCTGAGCAGAGAGAGAGAAAGCGTTCTCTTTGTGCACCTGGCTCATGCTTATTCCCTTTCCAAAATAATAAAAGTCAGTGGTGTGACACCGTATGTTGCGAAGTTTGCCAAATTTTGACTTCGGGGTGACTGTAGACTTTGCATTATAGCAAAGGCATGTGGAGGCTAATCTTCAGTTAGCTGACTTTATTTTACTTAAATAAACCTTATTATAGCCAAAGTCAGCTTTGGGGAGTGATGGGGGACATCCACCAGTCTCTAAAGAGACCTGCTCTGAAATAACATGGCTGAAATATATTAGCTGTCCAACATTCTTTGTCAGATTTTGAAAACCTTGAGAATCAGAGCAATGATATTTCTTGGAATACTGAACAATGAGCTAGAGCCCTGTTGAGTCTCATAAACCTTCCTCCCAAATCAGAACTGACAATCAGTCGGATTCAACCCATAGTTCATCCTCCCAAATAATGTGGTTTGAATGATAAGGAATCCAAATGAAGTAAAACAGTGACTGAAAAAAGGGGAGGAAGACAAGTCAGGGATCGGGGCAAAATCTCCATTCTGAGTGCGCAGAAGTTCAAGATGGACCATCGCTGCTATAAGCATGGAAAAGCTTTCACTTACTTGTGTCGGAGGGTCTTTAATACAAAAAGCTGGAGGAGAGAAAGTCAAGATTAGTCTGGCTTTCTTTCCTCCTCGTGGACACATTCCAAGGTAAAGTTCAAGCTAATGCTAGTCTTGGTTATTTAGTTATCTAATGCCTGCAACAAAAGTAAAGCCCTCTCCATATTTTTCCTGAGGAATTGCAGGTTTTAAATATATTTTCAAATAAAAGCGGTAAGTGGAAGCTTCTTTTTAAAAATAGGATCTAAGGGGCACCTGGCTGGCTCAGTAGGTAGAACATGTGACTTTTGATCTTGGGGTTGTGAGTTCAAGCCCCACACTAGGTGTAGAGTTTACTTAAAAAACGATAAGCAAAAATAGGATCTGAATAAATGTCAGCAAAGTTGAGAGTCTCGGCACTGAGGAAGGGGAAATTTAAAATGGCAAATTAGTATATCTTTAGCCACAAAGCCACATATAATGACATAGATTCATACTTTTCACAAATAGCTCTTTCTCAATTCTAAATCTGGTTCTACCATTTGGTTGGTAAGAAACTTCATTTCTCGGTTTTTCTCTGAGACAGGGAAAAAAAGAAAAACCAGAATGAAAGCTATTCCTGGAACAATGTGGCAATTTTAGTACTCTAGGTTCTAAGTTATGTTATAAGCCTATCCAGGTATGTGCTTATCCTTTTGGAGGAAAAGAAAAAGGGGCTTTTGCCGCAATCACTGGGGGAATTTTGACACCAGACATGTCAGAGCAAGGCAATAGGACAAGTCTCCAAGCATCAGGAGCGTCACCACTGATTGGGTCAGTAATTCTTTTGGAGAGCCCAAGTAATGAAATGCCACCAGGTTTTAACAATGATGTAGGGACAATAGCCATCCATCCGACAGGCTTAGGGACAAGAACCACCGGAGTTGCACAAGGGGTATGTGTCCTTAAAGCTGAGTAGGGCCCTTTCAGGCAGCTGTGGATGAGGGGACTTGGACCATGTCTCCCAGGAAGGAAGACACAAAGAGAACAACACTATAGGCAGAGAACTGGAATCGTACTGAGTTCTCCCAGTGTCTGCACTTAAGGCCAAGTTCACCTTGTCTAAAATAAGACAACTTGGGATTTTCAGGAGGCCATGTCAACTGGTCATCAGGAATCAGGGGGGACAGTTTTAACTTATACACAGATGGAGCAAGCAGAGGGCTTTTTAGACTGTGAATCACATCATGTGAACCTTTTTCAATGGGTTCCAATCTCTTCGGAACCAAATCCAAAATCTGAATCATGGGCCAATATGTTTGTTATCCTGGCTACTTCTCAGACCTCATGTCTCACTTCTTTGAACATCCTGCTCTGGGCATGCTCTTGTCCTTGTCAGAACATGCCAAACGTATTCTTGCCTCAGGACCTTCAGATTTGCTGCTCTCATGGTCTGGAATGTTCTTGACTTGGACCTTTGCAAAGTTTACCTTTTCACTACATTGATGTCTCTCATCACACATCACCAGCTAAGAGAGGCTGCCCCTGACTTAACATAAAATTCGCTTTATCCCCTCATCCCGCCTTAATTTTCCTTCTAGGGGTGCCTGGGTGGCTCAGTGAGTTAAGCCTCTGCCTTCGGCTCAGGTCATGGTCTCAGGGTCCTGGGATTGAGCCCTGCGTCGGGCTCTCTGCTCAGCAGGGAGCCTGCTTCCCTTCCTCTCTCTCTCTGCCTGCCTCTCTGCCTACTTGTGATCTCTGTCTGTCAAATGAATAAATAAAATCTTTAAAAAAAATTTTCCTTCTAGTAATTATCACCATGTGATGATAGGATACCTATGTGTTGACTAATTTATTACCTGTGCCTCGCCAGACCACAAGTTCCATGAGGGCAGGAGACTTGGTTTTGCTCATGCCTTACCCCGAGACTTAGAATAGGGCCTGGCACATAGTGGGTATTCAGCTAATATTTGTTGACTGAATAAATGAATTAAAGCAGATATTCAAATGAATCGACTTTTGTAGAAATTTCGTTTCTAAACCGGGCGAGCCTTAAAATAGCAAAAACAGTTATACGTAGGAAAATCAAAAGTTGTTTTTTTCTTTTTAAGAAGGTTACAGGCCCAGCATGGAGCCCAGCATGGGGCTTGAACTCACCACCCCAAGATCAAGACCTGAGCTGAGCTCAAGAGTCAGCTGCTTAACCGACTGAGCCACCCAGGGGCCCCCAAAATAAAAATTTTTGACACTTCTGAAAAAGTAAATGCCGTAAATGATCTTTGCCATTTCACAATTGAACCCACATTTCCACTTCACCCTCCATGTGGTCATTTAAGCTTGGTCCCTCTTCAGTAGCAAGACATAGAGTTGGGGGGCACCTGGGTGGCTCAGTTGTTAAGCATCTGCCTTCAGCTCAGGTCATGAACTTGGGGTCCTGGGATTGAGCCCCGCATCGGGCTCCCTGCTCCGTGGGAAGACTGCTTCCCCCTCTCCCACTCCCCCTGCTTGTGTTCCCTCTATCACTGTGTCTCTCTCTGTCAAATAAGTAAATAAAATCTTTAAAAAAAAAAGACATAGGTGGATAGAATGTCTGTTACTGGTGTCAGAATCTCTAAACACCCTCACTTTGGCAAGGCTGGAGAGAGAGCTATTGAAATGTCTCTTGTTCCAAAGAATCCCAGAAATACCAGACAGGATCACTCTTTTGGAAAATTAGACCCACGGAGATTGTTGGTCTATTTAAACAGACTCAATCCCCAACTTACTACATTAGCACTTAGTACTCTTCAACTGCACACGCTTGTATCTGAAGTAGCTTGTGCCCCTTAATCGGTAGGAGAGCCTCATTTGTTTATGGAAACGCTGTGATGCCCTGAACGAATCCAAGGGCTTCCTCTGGAGCACCTTGGAGAGAAAGCTGGCAGGTTCCGGCTGCTCTGTGGGCCTGTGGAGCAAAGACTTTTATCTCTATCAATAAAACTCACCAGCTCAGCCAAGTATGGACAGTGACACCATAATTAGCTCTGCTGTGCACCCAAGTGAACAAACGCTTCCTGAAGTATCTTACGTTACTCTCTTTGGGCATCCCATGTTCTACTTTGATCGAATTGGACCACTTCTGGGGCGCCTGGGTGGCTCAGTCGGTTAAGTGTCTGTGGTTAAGCTCAGGTCGTGATCCCAGGTATCTGGGATCGAGCCCCACGTTGAGCTCTCTGCTCAGTGGGGAGCCTGCTTCTCTCTCTGCCTGCTGCTCCCCTGCTTGTGCTCTCTCTCCTCTGTCAAATAAGTAAATAAAATACTTTTTTGAAAATTGGACTACTCCCCTTTACTGACCATTCCCTGTGTTTTCCTGCCTTAATACATTTGGTCCTATTGCTCCCTCCCTTGTATATAGGTTTTTTCCCCCCATATATCTATCATAGTAAACTACATACAGTAAACTATAAGTCCATTCATTCCCTCAAGCACAACCTCACATCAAAGAGGAAAAAAAGTAAGTAAATGAGTCCAAAGATCTGGTCAGAAATTTCATTGCTAAAACATGTAGCACACCAAAGTGTCAGTTTTACTCTATGATAACTTTAAAAATAAAATAACAATATACCATCAACGAAGTATACAGGACTCAAAGACATATTCTATTTTTCCCACAATGACTATCTTGATGCCTTATATAAAATAATGAGGACCAAATTCTCCCACCAACCCCCAAAAAGTTGGTGCCCCAGGTTTGCAAGCATGTGCTTAGACTGTCTATTGGGTAAACCAGCACTGTGTAAGGAGAGATCCACACTGTTCCCTCCGATTTTAGAATCCTAATGACAATTATTTCTTTTCTTTTTTTAAAAAAGATTTTATTTATGTATTTGTCAGAGAGAGCACAAGCAGAGGGAACAGCAGGCAGAGGGAGAAGCAGGCTCCCCACTGAGCAAGGAGCCCCATGCGGGGCTGGACCCCAGGACCCTGGGATCATGACCTGAGCCAAAGGCAGAGGCTTAACCCACTGAGTCACCCAGGCGCCCCTATAATTATTTCTTTAGTGCAATACAGGGCTGAGGAACGTCCAGAAGTAAGGTTGTCTTGAGTAGAAGTATGAAGGATATTGCTCTTATGCCGATGTCCAGAGAAGATAGCTGTTGCCACAGTGTGACTTGAGGGCCACCGCAGAAGTCTGACCCTACTGACCTGTACTTCTCACCGTACACTCCATCTTCATGGCACTTCAAAAGAAGAAATGGGCAGCTTACCTGGATTGATGCATCCTGCTATGTCAGAAACATAACATCTGTAGGAATTTGTTTACTTAATTAAAATACACTCTTTGAGTAAAGCCAGACTTAAGCTTACTTTAAGTTTACTTCCTAAAGCCAGACGTAAGGCCAGTCAACCATGATGGAGCAGGGAGGTCAGCAGGAGGAGGGAAAAGCTGAAACGTGGTTCATATGAGTTCTGTTTAAATGTGTTGTTCAAGTGATGCTAAGGAGTAGCTGAGTTATATAATATCAAACTATTTTTAAGGGAGAGTTTAGATCAGAAAAAAAATACTCTTGCATGTATCAGATCGCTTGCACAGGACCAAATGCACGGCCGGCAAATTACAGATGGAAAATTTCGGGAAAGCAAAAGCAGAGGTTGAAAAGCTCCCTATTCAGGGAAGGGCTGGTCAGCAGGGAGGCAGAGGAAGGAAAGGAGTGGTTTATGCTGTGGGGATGGATTAATTTTTCTATTGCGGAGGCTTGGGGGGGATGAGACAGATTTGTCCTTGGCTTGCAGATAAAAAAAGACGGTTCTGGGAAAGACAGCCAAGTGCCACAAGATGCTTAAAGCAGTCACAGTCCTTTCTCTAGGGTAGCTAAGCTCATCGTGTGGAATGGAGGGAGATAGGCAGGGGTTTTGCCGCTTGATTGAACTGCTAAAAGTGTAACTCAACAGCTGGAAAGGAAGAAACAGCCCCAAAAACTCATCAATAGATGAATGAATAAGCGAAGTATGGTGTACACTTGCTGCGAAATCTGATTCGGCCACACAAAAGGAATAAAATACAGAGAGATACATGCTACAACATGGATGAACTTGATAACATTGTTCACTGAAAGAGCCAGACGCAAAAGGTCACAGGTTGCTGGATTCCGCTTCTGTGAAATGTCTAGAATAGGCAAATCCAAACAAACAGAAACCAGATTAGCAGTTGCCAGGGGTAGGGGATGGGAATTTGGGAGCAACTATTTAATGGGGATGGGGTTTCCATTCGTGCTGATGAGACATTTTGGAACTACATAGTGCCAGTGGGTATACAGTATTGTAAACCACTTAATTGTTTACTCTCAAATGGTTAATTTTATGTGAATTTCCTCTCCGTATAAAAACTATTTAAGCTTTCCTCAAATTACAGGGGGCTCTGACTCTAACATTCAATATTGAAGGTTAGATAGTTCTTTTTAAGCTGGCCTTACACCAAAATCAGAAAATAATATTGAAGGGTTAATGAGAACCATAGCTAATTGTTTTTATTTATTTAAAAAAACCTTTAAATCCAGTATAGTGAACATACAATGTTATATTAGTTTTAGGTATACAATATAGTGATTCAACAATTCCATACATGTCTCAGTGCTAATTATGGTAAGTGTACTCTTAATCCCTTTCACCTGTTTCACCCATTCCCCCACCCACCTCCCCTCTGGTCACCACCAGTTTGTTCTCTGTAGTTAAGAGTCTGTTTTTTGGTCTGTCTCTTTTTTTTCCCCTCTGCTCACTCATTGTTTCAAAAATTCTACTTGTAAGGGAAATCATACGGTATTCGTCTTTCTCTGACTGATTCACTTCACTTATCATTATGCTCTCCAACTGCATCCACGTTGTTGCAAATGGCAAGATTTCATTCTTTCTTATGGCTGAGTAATATTCTATTGTACATATATAGATGTGCAATAGAATATTATATATATAATGTATGATATATATATGTGTGTGTATATATATATATATATACACATATATATGTATATATATATATCACATCTTCCTTATCCATTCCCCTATCAATGGACACCTGGGCTGCTTCCATGTCTTGACTATTGTAAATAATGCTGCAATCAACATAGGGGAACATAGATATATTTGTGAGTTAGTGTTTTTATATTCATTGGGTGAATACCCAGTAGTAGAATTACTGGATCATATGGTAATTCTATTCTTCATTTTTTTGAGGAACCTGCATCCTGTTTCCCACAGTGGCTGCACCAGTTTGCATTCCTATCAACAGGGCACAAGGGTTCTTTTTTTTCCACATCCTCGTCAACACTTCTTGTTTCTTGTGTTATTTTCGCCATTCTGACAGGTGTGAGATGATATCTCATTGTGTCATATGTGTGTGTGTGTGTGTGTGTGTTTTGACCGGACTAAGTGGCCTTACTGGGGGAAAGCCAGGACTACAATGGATTTTAGAATTGGCACTGGGGCCCTTCTTCTCGCCAAAGGTGGGCAACAACATTGACAAAGCGCCGGTTGTACACATCCACCGCCTGGCTCGGCCTGTCTCCTTCTGTTTGTCCGTTTGGCCGCCTTGGGAGTCTGCCCTCTTACTCTCCCGGCATGGGCTGGGGAACCATGGACTTCACCTCCAAGCATGTGGCCGGCTACTGCTGGGGTGATCGGAGCCTCCACTCCACACCGACCCAGGGTAGCCTTATCCTCTAAGGGTGTGCCTGCCAAGAGCACAACTTGAGCTTCTGGAGCGATGCCCTCCGGTGAGGCTACAGGAGCCTTGATCTGGGTGACCATCTCCTGGCCGGTCACCTTGAGAGTATGTAGCTCCTGGGCGTGGACAAGGAGCTGCATGTCAGCTACCCACCTGTGGCCACCACAGCCCCTGCCACCTCACTGGGGCTTTGATCTGCATTTCCCTGTTGAGGAGGGATGAGAAGGGATGTTGAGCATCTTTTCATGTGTCTGCTGGCCATCTGGATGTCTTCGTTGCAGAGATGTCTGTTCATGTTTTCTGCGCATTTTTAAATGGGTTATTTGCGTGTTCGGTGTTGAGTTGTATTAAGTTCTTTATACATTTTGGATGCTAACCGTTTACATGTCATTTGCAAATATCTTCTCCCATTCGGTAGGCTGTCTTTTAGTTTTGTTGTTTCCTTTGCAGTGCAGGAACTTTTTATCTTAATGCAGTCCTAATGTTTATTTTTGCTTTCGTTTCCCTTGCCTCAGGGGACATATTTAGAAAAATGTTGTTATGGCCGATGTCAGAGAAATTACTGCCTGTGCTCTCTTCTAGGATTTTTATGATTTCAGGTCTCACATTTAAGTGTTTAATCCATTTTTATTTCATTTTTGTGTATGATGTAAGAAAATGGTGCGGTTTCATTCTTTTGTATGTAGCCGTCCAGGTTTCCCAACACCATTTGTTGAAGAGACTGTCTTTTTCCCATCACATATTCTTGCCTCCTTTGTGTACGTTTAATTGGCCATAAAATAAGGGGTTTAGTTCTGGGCTCTCTATTCCGTTCTATTGATATATGTGTCTATTTTTGTGCCGGTAGCATACCTGTTTTGATTACTACAACTTTGTAGTATATCTTGAAATCTGGGATTATGAAACCACCCATTTTGTTCTTTTTCTAGATTGCTTTGACTGTTTGGGGTCTTTTCGGTTTCATGCAAATTTTAGGATAATTTGCTCTAGTTCTGTGGAAAATGCTGTTGGTGTTTTGATAGGGATTGCATTAAATCTTTAGAGTGATTTGAGTGTATGGACATTTAAATAATATTTTTTCTTCCAGTCCATGGGCGTGGAATATCTTTCCATAGACTTGTGTCGTCTTCAATTTCTTTCGTGACAGTTTTATAGTTTTCAGAGTACAGGTCTTTGCCTCCTTGGTTAAATTTATTCTTAGCTATTGATTTTGATACAACTATAAATGGGATTGTTTTCTTAACTTTTTTCTCTGCTGCTTCATTATTAGTGTATAGAAATGCAATGGATTTCTGTATATTGATTTTATATCCTGTGACCTTACTGAATTCATTTATCCATTCTAGCTAATTATTTTTAAACTTCTCTACTTCTATAAACTTTGATTTACTTTTCTACTTTAGTGAAAAAACCCATTTTACTTGGGGCGCCTGGGTGGCTCAGTGGCCTTCGGCTCAGGTCATGATCCCAGGGTCCTGGGATGGAGTCCTGCATCAGGATCTCTGCTCAGCAGGGAGCCTGCTTCCCCCTCTCTCTCTGCCTGCCTCTCTGCCTACTTGTGATCTCTGTCTGCCAAATAAATAAATAAATAAATCTTTAAAAAACAAAAACAAAAACAAAAAACCATTTTACTTAATACAGAATATGTATAATCAGTAGCAATACTCAAAATATTTAATAACTTGTACAGCATAGACACTGACCGATCAGATATGATGCCAGCTATCAACCACCAGTGGACGAATGTCTTTACTTGCTATATCTCTAATAACCAAATGTGATGGCTAATTTGATATGTCAACCCGGTAGGGTCATGGGGTGCCCATCTATCTGGTTCAGCGTTGTTCCTGGGTGTGTCTGTGAGAGTATTTCCAGATGAGATTAGCATTTGAATTGGAATCCTGAGTAAAGTTGATTGCCCTCCCTAATCATTCAATCTGTTAAAGGCCTGAATGGAACAAATGGCAGAGGAAAGGAGAGTTTGCTTCTTGTGTACCTGATTGCATGAGCTCAGATACACTTCTTCTACCTTCAGACTAGGAATGAAACCATTAGCTCCACTGGTGCTCAAGTCTTCAGACTTGGGCTGACCTATGCCAGTGGCTTTCCTGGGTGTTTGGTGGGCACAGGGCAGATCATGGGACTTCCCAGCCTCCATAATCATGTGAACCAATCTCTCTCTATAGATAGAGGATAGATAGATAGATAGATAGATATAGGTAGATAGTTATCTCCTATTGGTTCTGTTTCTTGGGAGAATTCTAACTAATACACTAAGTAATAGGAAGCTTAGCTGAGCAAACAACGAAGACATAACGAAGGCTCTGTCACGTCCCCTGTGACTGCATCTGATTTACGCACCTACTACCCAGGGGAAAATAAATAGCTTCATGGGCACTGGTTTTAAAAGCCAATCATAATGGCTTAACAATATGAATGTACTTAAATCCATTAGCTGTACGCTTAAAATGATTAGAATAAATTCCAGGTTATGTGTTTTTCCCACAATTAAAAATGTTGTAGTAAAAACTGCAAATGCTGGGGCACCTGGCTAGCTCAGTTGGTGGAACATGTGACTTGGATCTCGAGGTTGTGAGTTCGAGGCCCCCGTTGAGTGTAGAGATTACTTAAAAATCTCTAAAAATACATAAATAAATAAATTAAAACTACAAATGTTTTTTAAAAGCCAGTCATACATGTTTGCAAAATGTTACAGACTAAATGTTTGTGTCCCCTCAAAATTTATATATATTGAAGCTTTGATCCCCACTGTAATGATTTGTAGAGATGGGGCCATTGGGAGGTAATTAGGGTTCAATGAGGTCATAAGGGTAGGGGCCTGGTCTGAGGGGATTAGTACCTTACTAGAGGTGACACCTGAGAGTGTGCTCTCCCTTCCCCCACCCCACTCTAACACAAAGAAGACCTATGAGGACAGGGCTAGAGAGTAACCATCTGCAGACCAAGAGAAATGACCTCAGAACAAAACCTTTCTTGTCAGTACCTTGATGGTGGACTTAGAGAACCGTGAGAAATAAATTCCTGTGGCTTAAACCAAGTCTATGGTATTTTGTTATGGAAGCCTGAACTAAGATATAAAGATTCCAGTTTTTAGGGGGGCCTGGGTGGCTCAGTCAGTTAAGCTTCCCACTCCTGACTTCACCTCAGGTCATGATCTCAGGATGGTGAGATCGAGCCCCGCTCAGTGTGGGGCCTGCTTGAGATTCTCACTCTCTCTCTTTGTCCCTTTCCCTCTCCCCGTTCCTCTCTCAAAAAAAAAAAATTTCCAGTTTTTAAACTTTTCTCATTTATATAATGAGACATATTCCTTATGTTTAAGGAAGTTAGAGAAGGATTTATACCCCCATCCTGAGGGCATTCTGTGTATGGGCACTTTTTCTACAGTACTTTCTTGGTTATTTGGAATACCGAATATGCTTATGTGGTAAAAACACAACAGACCCTTTAGTGTTTATCCAAAGAATGATAGGAAGATAAAGTGATCTTCTCTTTCCATGTTTTGGAACACTAAGTGAACATGTTAATATTTATTACTGATAAGTTGTAGATAACATTGGGGTTTGTTTTGTCGTTCCTAAAGTTAGTTAGGAACATTGAGGTCTTTATTTTTCTAGTACATTGCTTTGAAGAAGTTGCTTTGACCTTTCTAACGTATTAGTGAGTAGTTTATTGCTTGGCTTAAACGCTCTAGTGCTTTCTTTTGCATTGTCTGTAACAGAAACAATCATGAAGCTATACATCTTGCCCCAGTTTTTATCATGAAATTCAGGCACCAAATGCCAGGCAAGGGCCTCCACAGACCCTTGTCTGAAGTCAAACTATGTAGACATGTCACATAGGGCTGAAGTGATAAATTTGGAAGCCCTTCTTTTTTTTCTTTATCATCTTTTCTTCTGCTGTTGTACTTGTCTCAGACAAAACACATTTATGCTCTGATTCCTATGGTTGAGATGCGGATCAGGGTGACCTGATTTGCAGCAATCTGACCAGGGACATAAAGTTCCATCTCATCTGTAGAGCTTAGAATCATTTGCCCTACAAAAATAAAAGAATTATTTGTCTCCTACATCTTCGAGACCCAATTTCCCTTCTGTAAGGAGGAAAGCAAAAGTTTGGCCAAAATCTGTAGAAGGTAGACTTGCTACACGTAGAACAATGTTACTTTTGTATAGATTTCTGAAATCAGCTTTCATCTGGAGTGCATTAGGGGCCCCTGAGTGGCTCATTTGGTTAAGTGTCTGCCTTCCCTTCAGGTCGTGATGCTGGGGTTCTGGGACCGAGCCCCATGTCAGGCTCCCTGTTCAGCAGGAGTCTGCTTCTCCCTCTGCCACTCCACTGACTCATGCTCTCTCTCTCTCATATAAATAAAATCTTTAAAAAATAAAGTGCTTTAAAATGATGGTGAACTTTTCTATTCATATTTTTGGTATCATTCATTTTTTAATTTTAAAATATTATTCACATGGCATAATGTAGTAGTCAATGTAATCCAAAGGCTGACTTTTTGACCATATTAGTAAACTTCAACAGTTAGGAAAAACAAGCTGGGGGTCACGAGTGATGTGCTGAGTTGGGAGAAGAGAGCGTGAGGTTCTCTGTGCTGTGTACTGCCTAGCCCACCCCAGAACAGCAGCCAATGCTATGTTAATATCTGAGGAGAAGGCCACATAGAAAATAAAATTAAATTAAAGGCTCCACGCAGATGAGATAAATGTGGGAAAAGAAGCATGTACACAAACAGAAGTAAAATACTAGTGGGTTTTGATGCTCAAATAAATGCATTAATTCAGATGAACGTTTTTCACTCCTATTTGGAGTTCTCATTCATTTTTCAATTTTTTTGCATGGATTTTAGTCAACATACTTAGCTTCTGGACACACCTGCAAACATACTATTCTAGTTTGTAATTGTAAATTATAATTTAGAAATGTTTTAATCAATATGGAATCGAATAATAACTTTCTTAAAAGAATACTTTTTTTAAAGATTTTATTTATTTATTTGTCAGAGAGAGTGAGCACAGGCAGACAGAGTGGCAGGCAGAGGCAGAGGGAGAAGCAGGCTCCCCGCTGAGCAGGGGGCCCAGTGCGGGACTCGATCCCAGGATGCTGGGATCATGAC